GTTTCATCTGTGGTGTGCTGCTTTCTCTCTCTTGATTGGAGAAGCCTATGGGACAAATCCATCAATGGCTAGTTTTGCAGCCTGTGATTACATTCTGTGGAATAGATAAGGCCCTGTATGCCCTCATGGCTCCCAGGAGTGTGCACTGTTTGGTCCTCTGTTAAAAAACCACATCACTGAACCTTGTTCAGATACTGATCAGGCTTGTGGTTGTTTAAACTATTGGCTGCATGATTTTCCATGGGCTAGTTGCTCTGTTCTCTCTGCTGCTACAAACCTCATTTTCAGCCGTAGTAGATCAGTGACAGATTTATTGCAGTGATGCTGCTTTGCTTAGGTTGCCCTTTAATGTAATTTGACATTTGCTTTGTAAAATGCATGTGAATAAGGAATGAAAGGAGGAAGATTTTCAAGAGCATTTAAGTGATTTAGATACTGAAATCTAGGAGCCTAAGATGCTCATAAAAAATCCCATTGATATTTGTCCACAAATTTGTGATACACTGATGCGCCTCTTTATCTTTTCCCTTAGGAATTTGAACTCCTATATTTCTCACTGAGTAGTGCAAGAATTTTTTTCAGAGCAGATAAAACTGCAGCAGAAGAAAGTCAGGAAAAGAAAGAAAAAGAAGGTGAGTGAATCCTATATGTAGAACATTTTAGCTAATGAGATTGTGTGCCTTAATAGAGGGTTTTTTTTGTAGCTGCTTCTTGCTCATAGGTTGACTGAGTATTCCAGAGAGAGGTTTATGAGGTCATGGGTGATTTAGACTCAGCAAGAACAGCTCAAGAAGTCCTTCTTTGGAATAGGTGAATTTCAAGCTGGGCTTTTGGGGTGTGGAAAAAAAAAAGCAACACCACAGAAGACCCAACTGATGAAAAAAGCCTGGGACAGGGAAAATTGCAGTAATATTAAATTCAGTAACTTCAGCATCATACTTACCTCTTCAGTTACCAGTGTTGACAATGAGAGCCTTGGGTGGTGTTAAAGTGGTTTTCACCTGTTGTGCCAGGTGGCTTTCAACTTGCATAGCAGATTATGCAGTTACTATAGATATTATGATGTTTGATATGCTTGGTCTCCCATTGAATTCTATATTCAAAGGGTAAGATCTTAATTTGTGGTGTAGTGTCTTGACTAGGTAACACTGGTATTTTGCATTTCTATTCCTGGTTGTATATTCTCCCTCATGAATTCTGAAAGATTCTCTTGGGGAAATTCTTTCCAAAGAAATGAGAATGCTCCTAAGGATCAAGATACAGAAATGCAGTTTGGTCACAAGTTACTTAGAAACTCAGGGAACAGTAGTATATTAAAAACTGAATTGGTAAATAATTCTCCACTGTACTTCTGACAAAGTACCAAATTCAAAGAACTCCAAGCACTGTGGGAAGAACAGACACGCTGCTCTGGAGTTTTTAGGAGACCATTCTGGAGAACATCAGCTAATTTATTTTAGTTTAAATATTCTCTGTTGTAGTACCTGTTCAGTTCCCAGGAAATGGTGTTTTGCAGGGAGAAAAGCTGGAAATGCATGCCAGGGTGGAAAGTTTTGAACGTGGTACTGGTATCTATGCCCTCTACCATGATCTTTGGACTTGGAGTCTGAAAAGTGTGTGAGCATTGTATATGTAATTTTTAGACAAGTACTGCTGATTGAAGGACCTTTCACCCCAAATATGAATTTCTTCATAGGGCCAGGACTTTTTGTGCTGCAAAGTCAGGTTGCATATGCTGACTATGAAATACAGCATGAGATGTTCCTGTGACATCAGCATCTCTCTCTCTCTCTATATATATATATGCTAGAATTTGAGGGGTTTTGTTTCAACTAGAGTGTTAAACATGATCCATGCCTTTTTTTTTTTATCTTTGTAGAAGAATCTGGTAAAGCAAGCAATGGAGATCTTTCCAACTCTACACCTGCAGAGCCTGTTGTGAAATGACATGGCTGGTATGGGTGATGATTACTTACTCAAATAACTCGTGTCCGTGTCTTCATCAATAACACTCTGTAGGGGTTAAAGCTCTAGATTTGATTTACTTGCTCTGTTAAATCCAAGAGAAAATGTACAGTAGCATACTAGCATCCACTGGGGCTAGGTCTATGTTTGTCTATATTTTCTGTAGAAACTCCTATTTTTCAGGAGTTTGCATTATTTACAGCACTTTCTCTAGATTGAAAATAATTTAATAAAATGTTGACCTTGGGGGTAGTTATTTTAAAGTACAGATGTGCAGATTAAAAAAATCCCTATTAATTTCTAGATGCATTCTCGCATCTCTATCATAGCATTTTAAAATCCCAAATTCATAGGCTGTTGGTCCAAGGTTTGAACTGGCATCTCTTCAACCAGAAAAAAAACCTCAATCCAGATATTGGCTGTATCTGTTGTCCAAAAAATAATTGAGACATGTCATTGTGCAGTCCTGTTGCATTTAATGCAGTCACAGATTACACTGTGGGTGTAACAGTGTATGTTGTGACTGTATGTTAAATCTGTTACACAAAATGGAAGTGCTTTTTACTGTTTTATTCCAAACCCCCTTGTTATTACTATAGACAGTATTTGTACTCTGGGAACTTAGGATCCCACCAAACATTTATTTCCCCCTGTTTTTGCCCCCTTATCAAAGAATGGGAAAACAAGAAAAGTGAACATGACAAATTACTTCTCATTTCATACTGAAGGTCTGATTTGCATCCACAGAAGTAAGGAAATCCAGAGCCAAGATAAAACCACAATCAGCTCTTTCTTTCATGACCAGACACTGTGATAGGTGTCTGTAACTATTAAGTGATCTTACAGTTCATGAACATGTTGTGCCTAATTGCAAGTTTCAGCCTCAATTCTGTATTTCCTAGCCTTTGCAGGTCTGTTGTACCGTGTGTTGTTCATACAGTCTTACATGCCTGATTATTAACAATAATTGCACTGCAGGCTCAGAAGCTGCTGAACACTGTGAGAACTCTGTTTAACATCTGTCCATGCCTGCAAGTAGAGGTTCTAGATTGTGCAAGAATTACTCAGATTCCTAACTTAAGTAGCTAGACTTAAAAGAAAACACCACCTTTATTAAAATATACAGGTGTGTTTTAATCTCCCAGAACATGAACACCCTTCTAGTTCTTACCAACCAGAACTAACTACTCCAGTCAGTCCAGCTGAGAGAAGTACCCTTGGTGGGGAGTTTTTTGGCACTCTTAAACTGTATTTTTAGGCCAAATTTGCTTTAATGCTTGTTTTAATGGTTCAAATTGTTCCACCCACTCTTGGGTCATTGGTTCAAGCAATTCCTGACGTGCTTCTGATTCGCCCTTTTCTGCCAGTCACTTCAACATTCAGACAGCAAGGATGAATGTTTTGTTGCAACTGGAAAGACCAGACTGATACGAACGTTCCATTTGTTGGTTCTGAGAACATGACACACAAGCTTCATGGACTGCTAAATCAGCTGGGCTCATTAAAGTTTTTATTTTTAGTTCATTATAACTGCCCTAAAAAATGCTGCATTACTTGATTTATATTTTTGCTTTTTTACTTTGATACAGGGTTTTTTTTTTAAGAGTGTACAGTTTTTTTGACCAAACTGTGCCCGCACTGAATGCTCAGTAGCATTGCTGAGATCAGCATTCTTGCTGCTGCTTTCCATCCTGCTGCAGTTGCTGTGCACATCCTTCTGCATTCCCATCTCTGCTGAAGTCACCTAAGTTTGTGGAGTGGAATGGCCAAGTGCTACATTTCCTTCTTCCACAGCAATGGCAGAATCACCTGCAGATGGTGTTCCTGTCCCCAGGATGGCCTTGCTGGGGAGCTGTGTGGAGTCAAGACACAACCCACACTCTAGTCTGTACTTGTATTTTCCCTTCTCCATTTTTTCTTTTGAAAGACATTGTCTTGCTAAGGTAAGACTTCGCAGTTGAACATAAAGTGAACTGAGCACTGCCTTCATGTACAGTGGTTAGCAAATTCATGTGGTTCTGGTGATGGAAATTCTAGAGGAAAGACGTAGCCTATTTTTATAGATGCCTGTTTAATCTGGGAGAACTGAATGTATACTCTGTGTGGCAAAAATATATACATACACAAACATGTACAGTGATAATAGAGCTATTCTTGCTAATACAGGACTTTAGTTTGTATTTCCTTCTTTCTCTTTGTCATGTAGCAGCATAGACATGCAGAAAGATTTTTCTCATCTGAAATCCAAGGTGGGTCCTGGGTTTGGATGTCACGTGACTGAGTTGCATTAAGTCCTTTTTTTCTCCCAACAAGGATATGGAAGGGGGGCAAAATTCATGCTGTGGTGCTACTACTCTTTCTGTTGCTTGTGGCCTCCTGTTACAATTACAGGAACCAAATGGACCCTAACTGGTTGTCTGGAGAGGAGACAATGGAGCTAAAACAAAAAATCCCCTAAACTAACCCAAACATGCTCACTCAGAAATCCCCAGGAGTGACAGAAGTGAGGATGATGAATTTTCTGCAGGGACATGAAACATGTCTAGGGGCTTTTTCCTTTGGGGCAGGGTTGGAACAGGCTGAAGGCCAGGCTCTCACCCCCAGCAGGCAGCTGTCACCACTGCCCTCAGGTGTTCAGCCTTGTGCCAAGGCTGCTGGAAGTGCAGCAGCTGCTCTCTGAGGGGTTATGGACACCCAGCTCCCTGTCAGCCCTGCCACCAAGGGTTTGCATGGCCCCAGCAGCTGCAAACTCCTGGTGCTGAAGGGCACCTTCTGCAGGTCCTAATGCAGCCTGGAACCAGGAAAACATTTGCGTTGCATCAGACGTCCATCAACAGCTGTTTTCAGCTTCTCAGGTACAAAGGACCAAATGTAATACTTAATGTTTCCTAACTCATTGTACAAAAGGGTATTTTGTTACTCCAGTCTCTTTGGTTTGTGAGTAGAGAACATTATGTATATAAAACTGTGTTAATAAATGCGATTTTGAGAACCTCATTCCCAGTGTTTTCAGTAACACCAGTTCAGTGGGTGTTATAAGACAGCTTCAGCTTTTATTTACAAAGATGTCTGTGTCAGTTACTAACGGTTTTCTTCCATGGTACTTTTAAACATTAAATAACCAGTTAAGTTAGATTTATTCCACATCAAACACTTCCAATCTGGGATCTTTCAGATACTGTTGCATAGATTCTGCTTATGGAAAATCTAGTTCCTTGATGACTGAGAAGAGTTAAATTAAGTTTGAGGATTTTTTTTCTAGGTACCTCATCTTGATTAATATAAACTACACTACAGATTACACCCCTCCCCCCACTAACAGCTCTTTAGTTTGTCTATTTTGTTTATTCTTGCAAAGTGATGTTGCTGATGTTTTCAGCAACAGATGGAAAAAAATTGTAAAACTTATGAGCCAAATCTCTCTAGTGTCCAGTATCAGGAATGTACTATGAGACTTGTCAATACATTGTAGGCTTGTAATCTAACATTTTATTGCTCAGTTTCTTAAAACCAAGGGTTGCTGATAGACTCAGCTGTTGCATGTCACCACAATGTTAAATATACAAAGAATTCTTACTATAAAAGTACTTATTTGTCCTACTGTTACCATCTCTGGCAAGAAACCTAACCGTAGAAAAACTGCACACAGCTAACATGCCACATTTGTTGCCTACTTCTGAGGTTCGCATGTCAGTGGTATTTAGAATAATAAATCAAGAAGGTACAGTTTTTCCATTATTTAATTACAGAATGTGAGAGTGCAGTCCCCTGGAAGGTAAGAGTAGGCACTTAAATTTTTTTGTAAGCTTATTCTAGATGCAATATAAAAATAGATTATATTAATAGGAAAAATTTAGTGTTTAACAAATTGTTTTGTAAATAGGCTAACACAAAAGGTAAATCCTGTTACACATAAACTAGACTAAAAATAACTTCATCTGAAATAAAGTAGATAGTGCATTTTTAACCTTCATCCAGATGCACATAATCATGCAAACTATGAAAACTGACTATGATGGGAAATTTGAGGCCTGATATTTGTAAGAGGAGCTGGCAGCTCACCCGAATTTCAGTGGAATGAGAGGCTGCAGGCTCTGTAAAGGTAAGAAATACTATTAACCCTCAGTGGCTGACAGCTGTGCTATCCTGCCCACCAGCAGCACTGGCCTCCTGCTCAGGGCTGTCAGCTCCCCAGACACAGTTCCACCCTACACATTCACAAATGCTAAATGCCTCGAGTCCTGCTGTGCTTTCACTGTAAATCCAGAGGGACTCTGCTGCAGAGACACCACTGCTCTCCAGCAGGAAAGGGCAGCTGGCCGCAGGTGACTGAAAACCAGAGATTCTTGCAAAAAGACTCCCTGCTTTTCTGCTCCCACACAGGCTGCAGGAAGTGACAGGAGCTGCTTATACTTCTGATTCCTCCCCTCCTTCATGCATGGTTCCATCCTCTTCTGACAAGTCATTCAGAAGCATGAACTTCCCATCATTTGTTAATGGCACTGACTTCATTAGCTGAGCTAATGCTTCTGGATCCTGAAGAAAAAGAAGAGAGGTCAGCAAGCTGCAGCAGCCTTTGAGGAACACACATTTCCCAGTGCTTCTTGCTAAGCTTTTGCAACTTCGGTTTTTTTTAACAAGCTGTAGAATAAAGATTTGAAACATAAATAATACTTTTTTAGGTAAGTAAAGACAATCCTTGAGTAAGAAGAAAAAAAAAATTCTTTTGAGCCTTTATTTTGCTGTTCTTTAGTTACTGAAAAGCAAGGAGAAAAGTAACTGTCTGAAGAATTTATTATAAATGTGCTTAGTGGTTGTGACTAAAAGCTCATTCCCCAACTGGTTCTGAAACCTTAGTAGCAAAAATATACTGCAAATAATAATGTCACATCTATACAGATAAAATATATCCACAAGGGATAGGGTAACTCTGCCATTCATTTTAAGTGGAAAAACACTGATTTTCATACCTAAGTGAGGGAAGAATGTAAGTTTCTAAAAGTGAAACAGCAGTGTGTGTGATTTGCACATCATCCCGAAGAGTGTGTTAGTTTTTTGAAAACTTTGCTAACAGCTTTCTTTCAGACATGAACATTTGGATTTGTGTAATTTTGAATTTGGACTGGGGTGGCTTGTTTTCTCTCAAATCACATTACTGAGAAATCAAACCGTTTATTTTTGCTATGTTAAATAGTGCCTGCAAAACTTTGTCCTTAGGAGGAGTACCAGTTCATTTTTCTTATGCACACCAGAGGTACCTGGACAGTGCAGCTGAAAACCAGAACATGATGTATCATACAGATGTGGAGAATGAAACAAACTTACCTTCTGTGCCTCAATAATTTCTTTTCCCAAGCTAATGGCATAGCAAATCTACAAAGAAGAAATACATGTAAAGTTCCATTCAGTTCTGGTTTGACTTTTTGTTCCTTGATTAAGAGTAAACCACACAACTGTCAGTGCAGACTTAGTGCTAAAACCAGGCCTAAAAGCAGGTGGAATACCAATTTGTTATGCTAACTACTGGTAAAGAAAACTATCTCGGGTTCAGCTTCAAAACTCACAGGGGATGGTAAATCTTTGTACTCAGCTTGGTCAGTTTTAGTCATCAGACTTTATTTCCACACTTGAGGGAGTGCATGTAAGTGTTTGTAAGGACAAAAGTTCTCCATCCCACTTATTTCTGCTACAGCAGGCAGCAGTCACTGGTGTTAGCACATATGGCTGCCTTGTCTGTGAAAGCTTCACAGCTGTACATGTCTCAACATAGCTGATGTTCCTTTTGTTAGTGCTGCTGCTGGACAGCACTTTCCCATCTCTCTTAATGCTGGGATTAGCAATCCCATCCTTTCCTCCTTATACTTGCTGCTGCATTTTCTGTTCATTTGGTCCCTTTTAGACATAGCCCAGTAAAGACTTGCATGTTAACATGTTTTCTTGGCCAGAAATTGAGCTGCTCTTGTTTCTACAGCACTGTTTCCCAGATGTGTAAGCCAAGAAGCCACAGACCTGTTTTCTAAACAAAGAATTTTATTAAACATTACACAAACCTTTTCCCCTTCTGTGTTGCTCTCAAAAACATATGCGCTCATGGATTCTTCTCCCAGAGTCTCACTGAGGTGGATTACAAAGCCAATCAGTCTCCTGTTCTCCTGATGGGCAGCAAACTGTGTCACAGTGGTGAGTTCAAACTGGAAAAGTAAAATAAATGACTTATTTGTTTTAACCAGCTCATGTTAGCAGGTTAGCTCAGGTTCATGTAACTGAGTAGTCACTGCTGTGATAAAAAGTTACTTACGCTTGCTCGTGTAACTTGGGTTTGAGGATCTATTAACCTGCAATTACATATAAGGAAAAAAAGAAGAAAATTATTTTAGAGTGATTTCTGGCAATTTTAAGGGCTTTTATAATAGAAAAGCAGTAACTCCAGCAGTTTTACAGATGAGGAAATATATGCACAGCATCAGATGCTTTAGCTGTGATTGGCAAGATTCAAATCTCAGCCTTGACTCTCAGCTGCCTGACAGGAACAGGTCAGAGCACCTTTCTGAGTCACTTGGAAAGGATCCTGAGTGCCTGAGCTAACACAAAATGCAGAGGGACATAAACACACCCCACCTAAAGGGAATGTCTGACATCAGCATATTCTACAGTGACACTACTGTCAAAGGACATTGTTAGGAAAGAGATTTTGCATCAAAACAATCATTGTTTTGCATCTTTTGTATCTTTGTAGGGTCTTATAGCCCCACTACATCCCTTAATTTTGATAGGACATTCTTACAAATTGGTCTGGACGATCATTTCTAGGTACCACAGAATAAGAAAAGAGACCTTTCTTTCTAGGTAAGGTGACTCTTGGGATCTTGCTTCCTCAAAGATTGTGTGTCTTAGAAAAACAAAACCAACAATACATAATAAGTCACAAATTGTATGAAGAGAACAGACTATTGACAAGTTAAGGCTTTCACAGTACCTCAGGTTCTTGCTGGTGACCATGAGGTGGGATTCAGTCATGCGGAAGATGTTGTGAATGGCCCGAGCAGCCAGCACTTGTCTCATGGCTTCGTAAATCACTTCGCACGTCTCATCGGACTGGACAGCCATGGACCCTAAAAAGCGAACCACGAACATCTGCTGCAGCAGGGAATCTGCAAGAGAAAAGCCACAACTTCCTTCACTGTGCTATTTCAATTTTCCAGTAGCTCGAAGTATCAATGGAATTATTTTATTCACTTTGGAAATTCAACAGTAAGCCTGTGGTTGGTGACCGTCATGAGTGGTGGCTTTCTGCCATGAGTCACGCAGTGCCCTGACCCAGTTTCACACTGTGTGAACAGGCAGCAGTGTGGAGGTGGGGAAGGAAGTTACTGCAGTTGCAGTTGGAAGCTTTAGAAGTGTGGAAGTCCTTTATGCTTCATTTGATCAGCTAGTAAAATTCCCTTGCCTGTTTAGCTATTGGGTGCACGTAAACTGTGATGAATTTATGACTGGGCACAAGCCTTGGCTTCCATTAAGCCTTGTACATTCTTCCCTTTCTTCTATATCCTGACCTTCCATGCAGCTGGGCCCAGTGAGGTTTTCACCAAATCCTTCCCTGCTCCTTGACTGTCACTAGAAGATTTAATGACAACTAAGCAGCCATTATGCAGCAAAGCCATCACTTGATCAGGCTCCCTTTATGGCTGGTGGTGGGCAAGGGAAAGCAGGGTGAATGTTCAGAGCAGTAGGTACTGCTTTGGTTCTGAGAGCAGTTTTCTGACAGGGCTGTGGGTTCCAGGCACAGGGGAAGAGGAGAACAGCCAGGGCCAAGCCCTACACATGCTAGTACAGGAAGGTCACTTTATTATTGGATCTGTTACTTCTGCTCCACGGTGTCAGGTGCTTTTCTTAAGAGACACTGGGTAACTAAAATCACAACTGATTTTATCTGGATGAAAGAAGCACTGACCTTCCTCCTCATCTTTGTTGCTGTCTTCAGATTCCCCAAATGGGTTTGCACGTCTGTGAAATAAGAATTAAAACTTGAATTACAGATTCTGGTCATCACCACTAACAGATGCTGCAATACTTCATCTCGCCTGAAATCACACTGTTACAGTGATGGATCACTGTCTCTGGCCATACCTGCCACCTCTGTTCTGGTCCAGAAATTCCATAGCAGGCAGTACAATATCAAATTGAATTGGTGTTCCAGGAGCAATGAGTTGTGTGGAGTCTTGAATGCCAGCTGATCCACTGGGAATTATTTTGTCATTTTCCATATTCTTTACAGTCTGGCTGAAGTGCAAATGTAGAAAAAAATTATGTTTCTATCCATCAGTGACACCCTACCTTTGCTCTGGAAGAGAGACAAGATTATTCAAAAATCCAAAGCAGGACTGAACCACTATGCAGACATGTAAGATATTTTCCTATTTACCTGTTACTGAGGACCCTAATAAAATCTTTTTTTTAAACCTAGCATTATTTAGGACAAAAATAAACATTGGTATATTAAACCTGAATACAGATCAGCTCTGAGTGTGGGCTGACTTTCAGCAACAGGTGGCCATTTGTCTCCCTGCCCTGTCAATATTCACAGCTGCATTACCAGCAGAGCCCTGGACTTGTGTCTACACTTCTCAGTGACAGCCCCTCAGCCCTGGGCTCAATACAACTGCACACGGTCCCTGCTCCATGCAAGGGAGAACGTTACCTGGGGTGCTGAACTTCATGTTTTTTTCCCAAGCTAGTAATGGGAGTCACTGCTTGCAGGGCTGTCTGATTTAATTTGATTGCAGCTGCCTACGAAAACAAGACAGAACAGCTCTTTTAGACATGTAGCTTACCTTACCATGTTGAAGAATAATGGGAGAGCAAGTTGAAGGAACAGACTGAAAGATCAAAACAAGCTCCCACCTCTGGATTGTCAGTAAGATAGATCTGTCTGGAGATGTTGTTGATGGCACATATCCACTGGAAGGGAAAAATGAAATTGAAGTCTTCAAGCTCACTTGTATGCAAGAATAATAACATTAAGAAAATATTTTTACCTCCTCGTATTCTTTCTTGCTTTCTGCTTGAAGGGTTATACCCCTAAAATATAAACACAGTGTATAAGTGCTAACAGTGGACACCAGGACTGTTTGACTGCAGTGCTTACAGTAACCTCACCAAGCTTTCCATCTATTAACTACCAAAGGAACAAGAATCATGAATAAGCTGCAGCTAAAAGACACCACACGTTCCATTCAGGCACTTGTGGGGGAGGATGGAAAATATGCTTTTAATTTGGAAACACCCTTCTGGAAACCCAGAAAAGCTTACTACTACACCAAGCAAGTTTTACAGGAAAGAGTATCTGAAGGGGTAGGTGTGACTGACTGTGCTCAAACAAAACCTGTCTCATACGCTTTGCCTGTAGGAGTAGTGATCTGAAAGCAGTATCTTCTGTCTTCACAGTCCACAGCCATAACAGAGCAGTTATCCAGGTCCTGAATCAATCCTCCAGCTACTGCTCCCCTTGGCTGACACATCAAGTTGCCACCTTGAGTGAAGAAATAGAGTCTTTCCCAAGTTGTAGTCACCAGACCTGTTTTACTGATGAGAAGGTGCAGTGATAAAGACTCATTACTGTTTAGAACTTTAGAAGTGCTGTTTAGAAGTAACAGGTATGAAACTGCAAACACAGCCTGATGCTAATCAACTTCATGTTCACCCTGGCAATTTTTTAGTAGTCTTTGTTAAGAAGAAAAAGAAGCACCTGTTCCTAGCAGAAACTAATCCATAATGAAAGCTGAAAAATTAAATTAATTCCAAACATCCAAGTTAAAAATCGTATCTTCTAGCTAAGGAATAAAAGAGTATTGAGTAACTGACATGAAATACTATGAGCAGTTTCAGCACAAAGAATCTAAATATAAAAAATTATCTACTGCAGTAGTATCTCAGAGTCCATCTCTTGCTTAGCTATAGAGTCCTATTACAGTGTAATCCAGCTTTTGGAATACTAGGAGAAATTACTAGATGTACACTGACAAAGAAAAAAATTAATTACTAGATAAAATAATAAACTGATATTTAATCAATCACATAAATAGGGTTATTATATGCCACCAATATACCTAACTTGTGTGGAAGTTTATGGAAAATTTTACATGTAAAATCTGCAGACATAATTCTACATATGACATTCTACACAAAACTGGCATTGTCCATAAAGCTTTTATTTATGTAAAAGAGGTCATTTATGAAAACGTGTTAACTACAAAATAAAGCTGCTTTTGTAAACACCATGTCTCCTTTAAGATTTGGGCGCAGTCTCATCAGCTTCTAATTTTTAGCCACTTGAATGCAGGAAATTTTTCCTGTAGGTACATTCAATCAGAAGCAAAATTCTGTTTTCAGAAAAATAGTCTCAAACGCCTCTAATTTGGTTAAAGCTTCAAAAATACATTTCCAAAGATGACAGAGGTACTCAGAGGATGAAAAGTGGAGCTACCAAACTGATTTAGGACCCTCAAACATCAATACCTGAGGAGTCCTTATGACCCTCCCCCCAAAAATGCAGCCACTTAACAAAATCAGCAGATAACAACAATCTTCTTACTTTCTAAGATTAAGGTAGCCAGCCTTCTGGATGAGATTTCTATTGATGGCAGGTGAAGTTACATCAGAATCTGGGGTGTAAACAGATTCATTAACCGCAATTAAGTCCTGCTGGGATATTCTCATTTTTTCAGCTTCGGCATCCAGCTCTCCTTGTATACTGGAAAAAAAAAGCCAACAACACAAAAAGAAACCCAAAGCCATCATTACCCATTTATACCAGGATACAAGTAACATCTGTAAGCCAAAATGAACAAAAACACCCTCTGAGATTACCTTGGAGGGTAGTGCAAAGATGAAATTTATTTTTCCAATAGATGTTACAGGAACTACTGTTTTGTGATACTGAAATGAGCACATGAGAAATGTTGAGACGTGTTGAGAGTGTTATTTTTTGAGAGACAGCTTCTAAAAGTAACACTTCTATGAATTTACACTGCTGAACACATACAGACATTGCCCTACTATATGGCATAGTTCAAAGCAGGCTGTACTAGAGGATCTCTTGGCTTTTTCAGAACTGTCTAATGCCTCCAAGGCTGTAACACACAGGAATTCCTGCTTTGACACCACCTATTAACTGGTCATGGATTTTCATTAATTCAGAACAGTACAATGACAAAATCTATAGCTCAAGTCTCACTTCAGCTTTAATTCTTTGTTTATAATACTGTGTTCTGCTTTGGTGTGATGCAGAGAACATCAGGTCTGAATTAAATTAGACCATATTTTGCAAGCTAACGCCTTTCCACTCCATCATTGAATGTCAGAGTAAGAATTATTTAAATTCCATTTTTAAATACAATGGAACTGTGCTGTCAGTTTTTACTTCAGTGTTATTTCAATCAATCTTTTGATCTGTCATTTTTGTTGCACCACAAAATGCTTTTGATAAAACATCCCTGGCACCTTCATGGTTTCTGAGGCTGTATTCCTCTTCCTAAGGTGTGCTTCTCCCATCTCCAAGGCAGGAAGAATAGTGAAGTAAACTTCAGTTCTGAAGTTACATGCATGTGTGGCAATTAGGCCAAGTGGTCACTGAGAATGTGTTAGTGTTAGTGTAGATATCTCCCGTGTTTTTATAGCATTAGCAATATTCACTGTATAAATTAAAATGCTTTTAAATACCAATAAAATTCTGTAGCTGCACAATGGGTCACATCAATTTGTTGTTCCAAAAGAACAAATATGCAAGTGAAAAGCTTTTAGCTTGACTAACAAGCAGACCTGACTCACTGAGGCCTTGTGATCCCCAGCACTAAGGAAGGAGAGGAGTGGGCAGCACAGTTTTCAATGGCTGTGCAAACTGAAGTCATGAAACCCTGTCCAGTGTCAGTAATTCTGTGATTAACAGTGCCATTCAGAATTTTACAAGCTTCTCTTTTGGTTTTTCCACAGACATCACACCCCTTTATGTGTGTAACACATGTTACATGTGTTTAAATGTAACACTGGTTACATTTGAGTTGTACTTTCAAGCTTTACTGTCTGACAGACTTTAAACACAAAAACCAGACTTAGCAAAATAACTGAGCAGCCTATTTTTGTTTCCATTTACTACTGTACACTGTCCAGAACTCAAATTCATCTGACTGTGGAAAACAAGGGCTTATTCTACAGTGAGGATCCAATGGCAGGACCCTTCCTGTGCCTGTAAAACACATGTAAGATGCTCCAGACTTTTTAAACAAAAGTCACTATTTCAATGGCATTTAAAATCTGTCCTCCAGTCTGTACAAATGCTGTTTAAACATTAGAGGGATTTAACAGCAGAAGGATTTATTTCACAAGTGAGTGTACAAAGATATATAAGTATAAAAGTACAAAAAGTAAAGAATCATTTAGTGAAATAATCTACTGTACTTGTTTGTAGAATGGTTCTCAAGTTAACAGGTATGCATTATTTAAAGTGCCATCAGAGTGAGAATAAGTAATGATTTGGCTACAGCTTGATATGAAAGGAATGAAGGATTAAAGTCAAGGACTCGGTTGGAACTATATTATCTTTATGATCCATTCCAACCCCTTAACATTTTATCATTCTATGAATAATATCCTCTCTATTATGCTTACATTTCAAGTGTAAAGTTTACATTTACAGGGACTTAATTATACAGAAACTCTCACTACAAGTAGAGGAGGTGGAGGGGAGGTGCAAGAAAAATGATGATAAAATTAGGAGTACAAAAGCAGTTTACTGAAATTTAAAACTTAGTCAAAGTAGGTTGAACTCACTGGACTAATACAGCCTACACTGGATGCAATGAATTTGTTCCCTAGGGTGAGGAGTTTTGTTTGCCTTGTGTAGCTACACCATCAAACGCTTTAGGCCCTAAATTTGAGAGGTTAATGGGTTATTGTTGCTGTATTATTACAGAAGACCCAGTAAATATAAATACCTATAATTCAGAGAGCACCTTAAGTCTATTATATTAATACTGTTAACCTGTTTCTAGCCCAAATTCCATGCTTTTCTATTCATGAAGAGACACAGGGATGTAAGAAAGCATGTGAACACTTTACAGTATATAGTTTCTGACTATTGTAAAAATACTCTCTTCAGTGTACAGACAGCATTTTCTTTTCCATGTACAAACATTTCCTTTCTACCTGTTACTTCAACAAAATATGCCCAACAATGCCATGTAAGCCTGGAAGGAATCTCATTAGAAAGAAAAAGAGGCACTCTCTGGTACGTGCTGAAGGTTAGAGCGCTATTGCTCAGACTCCAATGGAATGACAAAAGCAAACAAACGCAGTAGGTTACCTCTGAACCATGTCTGAAACAGATGACAAAAAGCTGTCCATCCTTTTGGAAAACATCTCTGCTCCTTTCTTAAAGAAGTTGATCTGAAAAATACCAAGAAAAAGGGCACTGAAGGTTCTCTTGGCTTTGGCAGACAAGCAGCAGATTGTGGGAGTGTTAACAGTGCTTCCATTATGACTGGAACTTTTGGCGGGTGATCAAACACATGGGCAAAACAGCTGCGTTGCCTTTCTTGCTACTTCCCACTTTTGCAACTCTCCACCCTTTCACACAGAGATAAGCTATTGGCTGCTGACAGGTATGTTTCCAAAGAACTTGCTAAATGACTCAAATAAGGGCACAGGTAGCTTCTCCCACAATAGCACTGGGCAGGGCTGGGCCTCGTGGTGTTAGGAGCTGCTGTGTGCAATGCCACCCTATCAAAGGGACTGGGACACAAATCATCCATTAGATTTAGCAGTCCAACCTGAACTACCAACTCCACGATGGAAGTTTTCAAAGTGCTGTAGCAAAGTCGGTCAGGAAAATGTAGCTGTGCTTGCAGAAGCCTCCAGGGCAACTGGCTGTATCAACTACAGTTTTACTATGAGTTTTGTTCTACTGAAGGAGCTAAAAAAAAAAGCTACTATGGCCAAAGTGCACATTATGTGATAGAAAATTAATTCTCTTAGCTGGCTCAGCAGGCACACAATAAAGCAAAGCACTTGGTGTAGACTTGACCTTGTATTGTCTGCTGCAGGGCACAGCCATCATTACAGCCTACCGGAAACTGCATGAAACATGGAAACAGATAGGATGTGTGTGCAATTAATTAGAATAAACACATAAAAATCAGTGATCTACTCTGGGAAGAGATGTAAAAGCAAATTCTTGGATGTTAAGCAATTTATTAGCTATTTCATCCACTTTTACTTGTGATTTCACTCCCTTTCTCTAACCTTGGGACTTAGGATTCCCAAGATTCAGATTTCTGCGACCATGTTATAGACCACAGCATCCCTTTATAAAGGAGAGAAAGAATGGTCTCCTAAAGAATGACTCACCTATTCTATTTCTGAAGCCTTTTTCAAAAGGAAAGAGGTCTACATTCCACTGATGGTAAATGCTGATGCCAGTTTTCAGTCAAATGAACCCTCTATTAGCCACTGCTTCTTTCAAAATGTCCATATGACCTACTCATTTGTTGGAAACGTAAATCTGGAGACACATGTCTGAGTAATTAACTAAAACAATACATATTTATACTGAAAGGCAGTTCACAATATTTAAGCATCAACTGGCTTCTGGTTATTCAGTTATTCCCATGACAACCTGAGACTTCCCTGTAAAAAGCACTGAGATAAAGCAGTTTTGCCAGTTGAAGTATGGGGAAAGAAAGTTCTGTTTGGTTTCCAGTAAAGGAAACCAATGCAGTTCTTTCACATAGGATAATTACAGCAGAGAAGCAGTGTGAACTACCGTGGTGGGGAAAGTGACTGAATCCTCATTTACTACCTGTTTTAAATGAGGCACATGGGCTGCAAAAGACAGATGATGTAGATGATGAGCCACACTACAATATCAAACAGAGCACCACATCTATTTTTCCTCTTTTCATAGCCCAGTTCTCATTTTCCAAACACTTTCTTTCATCAAAATCAAAGACCCTTAAAATGGGTAATAGTGAGAATCAAGTGTTGTGATAAGTGCTGTCAGACTTGAGAAATGCTCTATCAAATTGCTGTTAGAATAAAAATTAGAAAAAGGATTTTCCAGCCTTATGCTCAATCCTCTCTACTGTTCTGTCCTTCCAGCTCTCCAGAGCTCTGTTCCTCATCGTGCACACTCCTCATTAGTATGCTGAACATTATGTGCCAGGAAGGGAACTGCTACACAGGAGAGATTGTGCAGACTGAGTAAACAGTGGAAGTAAATGCTACTGCATTTAGCTCAGCTGTGAAAAAACTAACCCTGGGCTGATTTTGCATTGAAGTGTATTGGATTTTCTTTTCATTAGTATCCTTCCTGAATATCTAAACATTCAACTATTTGCCACAAACAAAATCTGTTGTTAGAATCTAGGCAAGCTGAATGCAAATTGTTTCCCCACCACACTCATTGTAATTTGTCAGGTCTCAAAATAAATCCAGAACTACAATGTTTTACCTTTCCCAGGAACATGTCTAAGTGATACAGACACTTTGCTGTCAATACCTGTCCCCGTGTATATCCTAGCATAGGTTCCATCATAGCCACTCTCTTCCTGTACTGCAGAGCATTCAGGGCACAGTAATATTGCAAGGATGAAAGGTGCTGCTTTCTTCTGGCATTTGCCACTTCTTTTGCCACTTCTGCCTTAAGCTGAACAAAAAATGATAAAGAGGTTGACGAAGTGTTACTGTGTATATGGTTATATTTACTGATAATCTTCAAATTTTTTTAAATCATCGTCTTTACAGAACTTCTACAGGTTAAAATGAAGGATGAGAAACAAAGAAAGCAAATCTAAAACCCAAAGCAAGTATTTCAGGCCCTTAACTGTCATGACACTAAAGCATTTGGAGAGCTCCTGTGACTACAAACTATGTAACTACCACCACTAAAAATCTGGATCAGATCTCTGTGCAAGAAATTTATTTGCAGCTGAGATCAGAACACAAGTCTGCAAGTGCAGAATTCAGAGGTGAGTAATTCACAGTATGCTATACCACATTGTGCTCCATAAGGCATTTCCTTTCAAGAACCATCCTGTAGAACAGATTCACTCTCAAGACAGGGCCAGCCATACACTTTTTGACAAAGAGATGTATTTTAGAATAGCAGTCCAGTGGGCAAAGAAGGAGGAATGTAAAATAATCCCACCAAGAGAGTTATGTGCACTGTTAAGTGGAATGACAGGCCAGAGTAATTGAACAGGAAGGTACATGCAAAGAAATGCAATGCTTTAGGAACAGCAGACACAAGGCTTCATGGCAGCTCACAATGAATTGTGCTCAGTGATACTGCATCACCACCTCAGCTGCACAACACTAGGCCTATACAAAGCTATTTATAGTCACTTGGACTGCCTCTATCTGAAAAGCTCCCATGGATCTGAAGGGCTCTAGTTGAGCACAATATTTCATGACTTGCCTAACTTGGAGAAAACAGGTGTAATTGCTGAGTTGATGTTTAAAAGCCTTGTGTCTGCTTGGAAATGAAATCACAAGTATTCCTGAGCTACTGTGAATTTAAGCAATGAACTCTCCAAAGTTCACAATGAACAAGGATGCAGACAGAATGGCTGATGAAAACATTCTATTTTCCCTTTCACATTTGTTACCTTCTCATTTTCTTTCCTTTTCGGTAACCTGCTATATTTTGCCATGGACACGTCATGTTCTGTAGACAAGGAATATTTTTTTTTTTTTAGAAATGTGATGTGTTTGTGCACAGATTAAACATGTCTTCTTTGCTCTAGCAGCTGCATATGAATAGAAACAAAACAGGGACACATACCATTGCTAGCAAGGCCAAAGAGATCCTTCAGTGTGCTTACTTCTGGAAAAGAGAAATCAAATATTCAAAGTAAAACCAGCTGTGAACACTTTGTTCAACTGAGACCATTTATGGCATATTTACTGCCCAAGTCACTCCAGCCCTTCCACAGCAGAGATGTATACATTGTGCCTGTCTTGAAAATGCTAAAGCAGATCAGCTGCTAGAGAAATGAATAGGCAGATAGCTAATTGGTGGTGGACTGAGTTTATTTTATTGAGCAAGTTGTCACTTCAAGAAAGATGCCTTATCTGCCAGTGTCATTTCTCCAAAGAAACACCATTTCAGTATGTTTATTCTGACAAAAGGCCCACCACTATCATGCAAGAGCAGCAGTCCTGAACAATCTGACAGTGCTTACGTGATACTGAGAAATTTAAGACCCATGGATGTATGAACTAAAGCCTTCTTCCTGTATATGAATCTCCCTCAGTGTGGAACATTTTTGCTAAGCTGCTCTGTGAAAATAAATCTGCATTCAACACACCTGACTGCTGGGTATGATGCTTGCATTACAAATACTGGCCATGAAATTCTGATACAGGTAGAGAGAAGACAGGCTGAACAGGCAAGGTAACTTCACAAGTGTCAGGCACAAGCTACTCTTAGTATCCCCACCAACATATGCTGCAACTGGTAAAAACTCTCTCAAAAAGCTACAAAGAAAGCACATTTACAAGAACAGACATTATGCAACTGTGAAAATACCAAGGGGAAATTGTAGGATGTCATCATGGTCTCTGATTATTTTTAGCATCCTACTCATTAATCAGTTTCACTCCACCTTTTTTTTCCCCCCCCAGAATGCTTCATTATGACTCAGATGAAGAAAGACAGAAGATTTTTCCATTTGTAAGTAACTTCTGTTTAGAGGTTTCTACAATATTCAATGTATAGATGTAACAGGATCAAAAGTAAAAACAGTAAGACAGTTATTCTTCCTTGCTGCCTTGTGTAATCCCTCTATGACATTCCAATATGGCCAGGTCTCTACTGAAAATGCTGTTCTACAGACTGCATCAGAAAAAGTGGATAGAATTTTTAAAAAACTGACATCCAAGGAAGTTGAATAAACTTTCATTTTTTGTCATGAAGCAGCTGGAGCTGTGGTTGCAGGCTTCATATTCATTTTCATATATTTTTTAATGAACAAGAGGGAAGAATCCATAAATATGGAAAAATAATTACTATCTCTGAGGCAACATGAAAGAGTTGAGGAAGTGTTTATACCAGCAACATCTTACCATCCAAATTCTGCTTTATATTTGACAGCATATAATAAATAATGTATTGTTAACATAGACACCTGGATGTCCTCAAAATTTCCAATCAGATCCTATAAGGAACTTAAACCAGTCACTGTTTTGCTGTAGTCATTTTGTCTCACATCAAAATGATGTCTACAAGAAGGACATAAGTGGGACTGCAAAAAGTGAAATGAGCAGTGGGCTTTAAAAAAAAAGAGAAAGAAAGAAATGCTGCTGCAAAAACTCACATTTCTGTTGTGTAAGTAGGTAAGACTGTCCTTGACCTTGAATATAAGCTTTTTTTCTTTTGTGATTACATAAAATGTTTGTGTTATTGCCTTGGTGTTTAAGTAATGAACTCCCAAATTCGTGAAATCAGGTAACTTGCATGGAACTACCCTTGCATGGCAAGGATTTAAAGAGGACTGATTCCCTAAAAAGGAGGGAATATACTATTCTCTGAAGTTAAAACAACATTCTTGCCTGTGCTTGTCAAACAGCCCCAAACTTCAGAAGTGGAATAAATACTGACTGCAAGCCCAATTCACTGCTAAATATTCCTTCTGGCAATTACAACATCAGTGACTTCAGTGAAATTACACTAGTATAAAAACACAGTGACCCAACAAAGAACAAAGCTGTATATTTTTAAACTTGCACCATATGGTGCATAAAATGTTATGTGGTGAACTTGAACTGGTTTTGTCTGAGTAAGAGCATGCACCTGTCAACAAAACTGAAATAGCAGAAAAAAACCCCACAAACTTTCCTGTGAATCATCAAAGAACAAATTAATACATGGCATTATTTCTCAGTTTGTGATGAAATAAACAAGCAGGAACATATAAGGAAAACTGAAACTTAGAATATAATTTACCTGTGAGATCTTTTTCTCGAAATTGTATTATTGGGAGAATCATTGTATCTGCAAGCTGTTTTGCCAGTTCAGAATGAAGAATATTGAGCTGAAACAGAGAACTGTTCTAAGACACAATGTACATAAAAAACCCCAAACCACAGAGAACATCAAAACACACCAGCCATTTGTGTCCAGTGGATATAATGTACTTCAATGCTTGAAATACACTTCTCATGGTATCTGAGACAGATGGGGATGTCTCCCTAAATGCTTCATTCCTGCCTGGTATTTCCCAAGGATCCAAGAACTTCTCAGTTCCCAAATAATGGATTAGGGCAATTCACTTGACCATTAATTCTAATGCTTAACCCAACAGGATTTAAACTGTAATTATCCTTTATTAACCTGTTTTTGTTAAGTCTCAATGCCATGGAGTTACAGTCCCACCACCATAACTACAGTGTCTTTCCATGAACAAGAGTTAACCAGGACACAATCACAACAGGGGGAAACCTCAACAAAAGGTCCCATTCAGTATTTTACCTTCACAGCAGTTCCCCATTCCTGTTTTTGTGTTTCTAAACCTCAGCACACAGCTGTTTTAAAGCACCCATGTGGCACCATTTAGGATGAAGGCAGGCAAGGCTCTCATGTCAACAGTGGCCTGCTAAGAATATGAGATGTGTGCAGGGAGGACAGCTATCAATCACACTGCTGGAGCACAAGGAAGGTGCCACACATTGAGGTGACATCCTGCCTGTTTGCTCAGTGTCCTGGATACCTCCAGGCAGCCTCATGCAGGGAAGGGTGAACTGAGGATTTCCCATGAGATAATACAATTCAATGCTGACAGAACAGAAAACAGGAACAAGGGGAAGCTAACACACAGAAAAGGAGGCCAAGGAATGGAGCAAGCTCTCATGAGGGAAAATGTGACTGACAGAACTGAGGAGCAACTTTCAGCTTTCTGTCCCCAAATGGCACTGTTCTCTTGAAACTGGGAAGGAGAAAGTTCTTGTTTTGATCTATTTGGAGCTCACATAAGCAATTGCAAGACTTGTGACAAAAAAAAATGCTCCTTTCAAGCATCCTGAAAACACACATGCAACAAGAAAAGCCTAAAAAAGAAGCAAACCTTTGGGATTCCTCTCACTACATCCTCAGAGTTATCCATGGGCTCTAAAATTTTTAACTTACTTTTTGTTCCACAACCCTCTCCCTTTTCCCAAACAGCAGACCAAACAGTACAGCCTTTTGCCTTCTTAATCAAAGTTGGAAGTAGACCAACAAGAACAGATTTTCTGATGGCACAGCACTGCTCAAAGCAGAGAGAGTGATTCGATGAAACCTAAGCAAGAAGGACCTAGATATCAAGGCCATACTGAAATGTTATATTGGCAGGTCTAACAAAAGCATTTACAAACACTTCCAGTACTTAGCAGAAACCTCCAGGGCATGGGGGTATTCACTGCACACAGATTCACTGTCTTCACCTCACAGTACTGCAGCCTTCCCCAGACATCTCTGGATTCTGCATGATCTCACAGCAACTAAACTGCAACTTTACCAATTCACAGCTGCCCTGCATCCATACCTAGCAAGCTTTGGCACAAACTGCAGTGTTTAAAGCTTAGAAATGTATCATTTTGATATGGAATTATATAAAAGATTGCCCTAGCCTAGATGACACATCCTGTTTTAGTCTCTCTTTAAGTTCCCCTAGGAAATTCAGCCTTGCTCTGAGAATAGAATATGGGATGAAGCCACAGAAACCGCTTTAACCATTATGGAAGGGTGGTATCAAACTTCTTTATCCAAAATTAAACTACTCTAAAACTCAGGCACAATCTAGCCTTCAGTGGGAAGGCTCTGAATCAAAAGGAGAGACCCAAAGAAAAAACACTAATATTCTGTATGGTAAAAAGAGAATATTAGCAATTCAAATTACCTCATCCACAACTTTTGAGAAATAATGGAGGGTGGATATCACTTCTTCATCTCCTTTACCTAAGGCAAAATGCTGCAAATAGAAACACACATTTGGTCCATAAATTAATAAAGATTAATATAAAATACAATACACGTTTTACTACAAATCTAATTAATATTTCTACAAAATAAAACAAATGCTAAAAATAAATGTAAAAACAGATGCTCATTAATATACATTCTTTTACCCTGCTCTTCTTGTGTTAAATGAATGGATTTTGGACAACACTTAATCCTTATTATACTCATTTTAAAGTCATAGAACTGGAACAAACTGACTTGTATCTTCATAAATTTATTAATTCAGATTTTGTACCTTTTTGGGTTTTTTCTAATGTCGTTCTTTTATTTTTTAAAGATTCTCAGAAATGACCCAACGCCCTTGAACATCCTGGGGAAATTCACAACTGCCTTTGCATGAAAGCAAATGCCCTGAGCACTTCCAGAAAACACAGTTTAGAGACTTTTTCACAAGTGCTGAGGCAGAAAAGAAATCAAAGTCATGTGTTGAACATACCTGCTTTTCATAGGCAAGGAGCTGCTTCGAAAGCTGTTGTGTGGCAAGACACATTTCATTCTACAAACAAAAATGACATGTTAATAGAAATAATGAAAGGTCCCCAGTCCTGCTGTTACCACTAATTTGTTAGCAACTTCTTGACTGAATCTGAAACTACTTTGACAAACATTCAGTTGTGTGCAAACAGCGTGTCCCAAAATACCTGCACAGATGTCCTGCTTTCAGTTAGGATAGAGTTAATTTCTTCTCAACAGCTGTTACAGCGCTGTGTTTTGGACTCAGAGTAAGAATAGTGCTGAAAATGCACTGATGTTTTGGATTTTTTGTGAAGTCATGTTTATACTAAGTAAATGATTTCTTTTCCTTGTCCCGCACTCAGCCAGTGAGAGGGCACGCAAAAGAAGCCAGTGGGAGGGAGCACAGCTGGGACAGACAACCCAAAAGGACCAAAGGGATATTCCACACCATGGAACATCATGCCCAGTAAATAAACTGGGGCAAATACCCTAAAGGGAGGCCAATCTGGGTTCAGGAAGGGAGCCCTGGCATCAGTTAGTGGGTGGTGACAGCTGCAATGTGCATCCCCTTTTTTTTTTTTTCCTTTTTATTATCATTATTATAATTTACCATTATTATTTTACTTTATTTTCAATTATTAAACTTCCTTTATCTCAAAATACAAGTTTTATTTTGATTCTCCTCCCCATTCCACTGGGGTGATGGGAATAGAAATGGGGTTAAGCAAGCCCCACAAATGGGGCTGGCAGAATTTCCAGCTGCGCTTAAACCATGACAACAGAGAAGCAGCAGTAAGAGGTACATACTTCAGATCTACAGTTTAACTACTCTGAACAGAGCTAAGATTTGGGCATTTGGTTCTAGGCTTGGGTTTCTCCCCATCACAAGAATATAACAAAACTAGAACAACCTCAAAGATGTAGGATGCCATATCAGCATAAGAATGTTTCACACTGGTTAATCATCTCCCCCCAAAACCTACATCAATAAAGTGAACCAGAAGATGTGCCTCCATAATGCATTCACGCTCAGGGAATGTACCAATGTAATTACAGCACTTTAAGTGGCTACAAGAGCACAAACCAGCACATCTCTCTTTTCCTGAAAACATACACACACTTAAGATGTGCTTACACCAGGTAAGACTTGTAGAGAAGTTGTATAATTTTACTTGACAGCTGGAAAAACCAGACAAGCACTTGGATATGTCAATCTTTAATCAAGGTATTCCCTAACACTAGCATATCAACTGCTCTGTCCCTGATCTGTTAATGAGGACTTAGAACAAGAATACAAGAAAAAAGGGAAGGGGGTAACTGACATCTGTCTCAACCCCTATCAGATCCTTCTCGTCCTCAGAAATGCAGAGAACTAGTAAATTTAAATTTAATTTTAAACCTTAACAAACTATTCCTGTCTTCAAATATATAAGGCCATAAAGAGTTTGTAAAACTAGGAGCAGATCTCTGAACTGCTTCAGTAGAGCCCTGTTTACAAGGGCTGATACAGAAAACCATGAAAACTGGGACAGAGCTTGTGTGCTTTCTTATTGTCCCATGTCATCCTGAGCAAGCAGAGCCCAGCACAGTGAACTATCTGGACCAGAGACCCTGAAACACCCTTTGCTCTGGCCTGCTGCCACCTGTGACATACTGCATTACAGCCTGGTGCTTCTGCTCTGCCTTGGCACGCCAGGAACGGGGGCTTATAGGGCAGGAGGGCCCAACTTTCAGTCAGTGTTAAAGTGTGCTCAAGTGCTCAGGGGAAAAATAAAAAAAACCAAACCAAACCAGCCACTGCATGTGAACACAGGACAGGGGAAAAGCTGAATGAGGTAATTTTGACCATCTTAAAACACCATGGCGACAACACTCCCAGGCAGGAGGATATGGCACAGCAGAGGCTCCCGAGGCATCAACAGGAGTTCAAAGCTGAGATAATGTGGGCCCATGCTCAGATCATGCACACCCTATGACTATTCTCACTTCACTGTGAGGGATTAGTCTTATTTCTTGTCTCAGCCCAATTTATTAATAAGCATACTTTCACACAACAGTAATGCCAATGGTTCCTGTAAGATTTGCTGGAGTTTTTACAGATTATGTAGTTTTTACAATGAAAAAGCTTTACACATACACTTGATATTTAAGTATTTCCCAAGCTAAAGGATGGAAAAGGATGTTCTGCCTCATAATAAAAAACAAACCCTGTTAAGGGTTTGTTTTTTATTATGACATGGATAGGAATGAGGCTTAATTATCTGTCCCCAAGCAGTAAGAACACCAGAGAGACTGTGCCACCTTCAAAGTGGGAGCTAGCAAGCAAAGAGTTTATGACAGGGAGGACAGGACTCCCTGCAAGTATACAGAAGACATTTAAAGGGTTTGTTTGTATGCATGTGGGAGGAAATTCATATTACAAAAAACAAGCAGAAGTTCTCAGACCTGGCATCTTTCTCATAAACACAATCTCAAAGACAGTCTTCTTGCAGTTCCTACCCAGCTCTAAGTCCTCACACAACAACTGTGATGCTACCTATAAATTGTACAGCTGGATCAGGATGAGAGAAATCTTTTGAAATAAACCAAGTATCAGAAACATGCCTCTTTTCCCCATTTGTTTCAATTTATTTATTCCTGCAAAGTCTGCAGTTTTGTCATCTGCTCTGAATCTGGAAAAGACATGCTTCTGGCCTAAGTCTGCTAACACTACAAGAAGCTTCAGAATAATGGGCTGATACAAACAAACAAACAAAATCCCCATACCCAAAAACCCCTGGCCAAAGACACCCTGTTCTTTTGTGTTCACCATCCACAAAGCTTCTACCAGTTTGGTTTTTAGACTCAATCCTGAATTTCCTCACTTAACATTCAAAGGGCATCACTGCTCATCTGTGTGGGGCAGTTTGAAGATGGGCAGTGTAGAGGTGTGTGGAACAAGCATCTTCCAGGGGTCACCACTCCCCAGGAGTGGTCTCCAGTATGTGACAGGATAATGGGAGAACACAGAAACCCTGAGGATCTCAAAGGGGTGTAAATGAACACCACCTTACCAAGTACACAACCAGGCTACAACAGTTAATTACAGACCCCAAGCAGACATTCATAGCCTATTACTCCAGACACAGAACAAACTGAGAGGTGTGCCTGACACAAAAGTTATTTTGGGATTTTAGGCTGATTTGGAGACAACAGTTCCATGTACTACTCACAAACCACTGCTGCCAGCTGGTCACATTTTTCATTTATTGGCTCAGTTCTTTGTGTCAGAACACCACAAACTTGTTACTCAATCCCTACCCATGTGGAAAAATTAATCCTTGGTCCTTCATCTTCCCTCCTAACACCTGCTAGACTTAGTTCCCATTAGAGGTACAAAATCATTCATTGTATCATTTGGGAAAAAAAAAACCCAAACAAAAACCAAAATAAAATAGACACACGTTCAAAAACTGTAAACAACAAAAAATTAAGCTAGCAAGCTGAAACACACTCCATTGCATAAGGAACAGGAAGCAAGTAAAATGCTCTGCTGACCTAGTGGTAATACTGCATTGCTAAGCACACTAATCTGGGAAAGTTTGGTTTAATCCTCCTCCCATTTCTTCCTAATCAGCCTTTTCCCCTCCCCCTGCCCTGCTGCCATTCAGTTCCAAGACTTAGAAGTTATTTGCATTGCTTCATTGACAGATCCACTAAGTCCAGGCAAATCATTTTAACAGGTTTTAATCTATCTCCAAGGCATTTTCCCATGGATACAGCAACATTGATTTGCTTTGTCCTGAAGTGACTGCAATGCAATATACCATTGCAAAAGAAAAACTACAATACATTCCTGACTCTACATCTCTTCCATATTATCTTGACATTTCAGAATTCATCCCACATTTATGGAGTAGGACACCTATTAACGAGATAATATATCAAGCAAAAACTAAAAAAAAAAATCCTGAACAGAAATTGAAGCTTTCTAAATGAAGGCAAACCTAACCAGTAGTGGGCCTTGCAAATAAATTCATTTGCACTAAATGGTTTTGCTTAACAGGTAAGACATTTCTGCAGCATTAATGTAAAAAAAAAAGTGTAGCAGGAGGAAGAAAAAAACATATGTAAATAAGTATAATTAAATCAGTAGTGATTACAGATTTCTGCAAGTCCAGTTCAAATAGATAAGGTAATGGAAGTGGGTCTTGATTCTAGCATTAATCTACCAGAAATGAAAAACAGCTAGTTTAAAAAATATTGTTTAATTTTCAAGTTACTTCAATACTTGATCCAGCCTTCAAATAACTCAGTAGGGAAAAAAAAGTTGTCCTTACTTTCTAAGCTAGTGCCCAGAGTAAAGACATGTGGTTGATTCCACCTTCTTCATTATCACTTTTATTCACCAAGCTGTTCTTATTGTCAGAAGAGACTGATTTTTCTCTAACCTCTGTAATAAAATATCCATGCCATTTACAATTTCCCAGTGAGGCAGTCCATCCATTTTTAGGATCTCTGTATTTTTCCAAAATAAACTCTGAGGACTAATCTGCTGAAATCCAAAGATATTTCTGTACACAGTTGTCTAACAGACAACAGATTTGAGGGCATGTAAAGGATTAAGTCGAGCTATAAATTAACTTCTAAAGACACAGAACTATTCCAGCACATCCAGTTCAAATCCCAGTCTAATGAAGCTTTCTGCGAAGCAACTTTCTTACTCTAGTTGGCATTTTTAAAACTGCAAGTAACTATGACACAGAACTGCCAAAGTCTGCTTCATATAAACAAGCAAGACACTGGTAAAGGTATTTATCCATGCACTCTGTATGTGCAGAATGACACATAATAAATTTTGGCTTACATCTGGGAAAACTTAATGCCTCATCAAAGACAAAAAAGACCCAGATATGTGATTGAAGCAGAAGACCCAGGAGGTAGTTGCAGCCTGTCCACCCCTCCAGAACCAGGCAACACATTTACCTTTAAAAGGTAAATAATAATCAGGTACAGCACAGAAAGAACTGGGTCTTGATACAACAGTTTTATGCAGCTCCATTTACATATGCTTATCTCCTGACAAAACAGAATTATCCAGCAATCTAGGAAATGGCACAGTCCTGCAGGTTTAGGTTTGCATATTAAATGGCTTGGAAACATGAACCCAGGGTTGCAGAAGCTAAGCCTCACCAGAGTGCTCAGGCTGCACAGCATTTACAACATCAGGCTAACATATGGCTTGCCCTGGTGCTGATTCACAGCATGGCATCCCATCCTAACAAATGGGAACAGTTCAGCAAAGGATCATCCAATAGCTCCAAGGAACAGAAGCCACCAGTCAAAGCTCTGCTGAAAAACACCAAAAGCAGCTACAACAGGATGGTTAGCTCAGTACAGAAAGAACCTCTTCTGTCAAAACAACTACTATCAGCAGGGTATCCATACATTTACGCTGCCTCAGATCTCCAGATCCTCCTTAGCACAATGCTAACCTGTTTCCAGGCACGGTGAAAACTCTGACTTTATAGGCAGCACTAAACCCAACGCCCATGCCTTTGTAGATACATTAGTTCTCATGTGGTAATCTTCTGCTTATCTCTGTCAGCAATATATGTGAATAAGCCTCAAAAAGGTAAGATGCAAACTTACAAGTATGGAATAATAATACACACAGTATTTCACAGAAGTCAGTGATGACAATTGTAGTTTATTGGAAATGTTTGTCCCATTCTAACACTCTGTTGAAACTTCTCTATATTGAATTAGAAGTTTATAAAATGCTAACTTAATTTTTATTCCATCAAAATGTTTTAGGGAAAAAAAGGTCTTATAATTTGAAAAGCCAACCCAATTGCTCCCTTAGACACGAAAAGAAAATAATTAAAAGAAAAGGTGCATCAGTGCTTGCTTGCTAAATAAGCAAGAACTCTCAGCACTTGGGGCTAGCTATGCAACATAATAAATATGAAAGTCCATGCATAGCCTAAATGTAGTGCATGACACCCAACTACTGAGTTACAGCCTCCTGAAGGCAATACACTGGAAAATCAAACAAGCAGCACTGTTGAAAAATGCAGACGTGAGGAATCATGAATTTGCAGAGAAGTAACACTTATAAAGCACTACTTAAAAAATAGCTTGACAGATTCAAGCTGTCCTGACACCCACGTAATGTGGTACATATAAACCAATACTATTCCATAACTGTCAAAAGTTTCTCTAAGAGTCTGGATGTAAAAAGGCAGTGAGCCACAGTGGTTGTTGCTGCTTTGCCTGTATGCCTCTGAAATCACAAGAGAAATGCTCACAGAGACAGAGATGCTGAACAAGATCATACTTCACAATTCCCATGCTTTTCTCTCTCCAGATATATTGATAAAGACAACATGTGCTTCTTTCTACTCCTTCTGACATCACTGCCCCTCTATCTAGACAGGTTTGTCAGGACTCATGAGATGAAATATCTTTACAATGACAAAATACTGCATCTTACTCTCCTCTCATCTGCTCAACTGTTCATCCCTTCTAATAGTCGGCAGAGACACAAGAGTCTCCTAAGTTGCCTAAAGGCATTTTGCTTCAAGTGAAGATTTGTGGCTCAACCATTTCTAGAGCATGATGAAGAACTGGAAATGATAGCAAAGCTTTGAAAACAATCTACTGTGACAGTGGTCAGGAAGGCAAACTGGACACACTTTGCTCATACACTATTGCAAGAGCCTCAGCATTGTAAATTAAGCAAAATAAATTTTCTAACAGTTGTTGCTTGCTGCTGCTTTATAATATTGGTAATAAAACATCCAGACTGACAAACACAACATTCACAGAAATCAGCAGTAATGCCAGATGCAACATCAGGGCTTGCATAGAAGAAGGAAGCACTACAAGAATAAACTCTGTAAGGAAGATCTCCTGTATAAGACCACTACTGTGGTAATATTCTAGAGTACTACAGCACAGCTGGGAGATCTACAGCAGGAAGTGTAATATGTACTCACACGGGTGTGGTTTATTTGATGAATATAAAAATGCTTCACTGTATTTAATCACATTGGTTTGCCAGATCAACCAAGCCTCACTCCTCCAGTGCTACTTTTGGGTCCTGTGACTTCTCCTTAATCAGGGCATCAGAGCAACCTCACTCCTCCAGCGCCACTTTTGGGTCCTGTGGCTTCTCCTTAATCAGGGCATCGCACACTGCATCTGCCTTGTAGCATCACAGCCTCTTTTGCACTAAAGAGTCACCACCTGATCCCATGTGGTGTGGGTGTCCAGGGAGGTGAGAGCACTGTCCTCATCCTGCAGGGCAACTAGAGGCTTGTAAAGCACTGAGGGCCTTGCAGCCAAGGCAATCTGCTACCCACGCATCTCCCAGCTGCAGCCCAGGCAGCAGAGCCACTGCTGCACAGGATGCTGCACATCCCTCCTTACACTCTTTCTAAAGTCCTGCTCGAACACATGTAAACCTGAAAAGATGTTTAAAAGGATTCCCATTTTCCTAACTGTTTTTTAAAAATATGGGCAAGTATTTCTTTTTCACACTCCTTTCAAATGCACTGATCCAAGTGCTTAAAGCAGTTTAAGCTGTCATTTTACAAATTTAGTGTGGCTCTCCACACAGAGCAGTGTTTTGGCACAGCTATAGACAGCTATATGAATATAACCACACAGTTAATTAACAGCATGCAGTTAGTACTAATTGCTACTCCCCTGAGACTGCACTGAATCTCTTCAGAACCTTTAACTATTGTTATTTGATCACAAGTTAAAGTGGTTTGAATTACAAGAAGAAACACCAAATTTCTAGTAAGCTAGCCAAAAAAAATCGTGAAAACATGGTTAAGTCATCTGGGAAATGTTAAAGCTCAGAAAAACTATTGAAGAAAACAGAATTAACATTTTTTAAACTGTCGTGTTTTCAGGGGGCACAAACCCTGAATTTTCAGTACTGGAGACTAGTACAACCCACTGATGCTTTGTCTGACTGCCTTGACTGTGATCCCAGTTATTTTATGGCCATTGCTTTAAAGTAGGTCAGTAACTGCAATTCCTATCTTACAGACACAGAAATCAGAGGAGGAGATGACAATGACTTTGCAAAGAGAAAATCTGACTTTGCAGAGACAAGATTTAAGTCATGAAAATAAAAAGGCAATTTTGGAATTGGCTTCTCAATACTCTCAGCTTTTACAGGGTTGGTAATACTTCCTAATATGCCGCTATTGAGGCCCAGATAACACATCAACAAAAGTGCTTTTTCTCTCAAGCTGTGATCAGGCAGCCAAGAAATACCACGTACATTTTTCTTCACTGTCCATAACTAACTTTATGTTTAGTAGGCAGTTCAGCATTACCCTTCTATTTCTACATCTCAAAACTGCATCAAACTCCAAAGACCTGTTTTAAAGACTATATCAAATATTCACAAGTGACTGAATATTTACATCAAACTAAGGTAGTGTTCAGGACAGAAGTGGAGAAAAAGTGCAGGAAAAATGAAGCAGACTCAGTAGGACTGCAAAACAGTGATGGGTAAATGTACTGAGACAATGAGAAGAAAAAGGAAATGTAATTGTGGTGAAACAGAAATGGAGAAGTCTAAAAACCAAGATGAAAAGGAAGAGGCAAAGAAAAGCAAAAAAAGCTCTTTTTCTTGAATCACATAGAGCAACCACTTCCTAAAATTCCATCCTAAAATGTCAGCAGCAGCGGAAAGGGACATGAAGCCCTCAAGCTGGACATTAAAAATCAGATTTATCTCCTGATCCCCCTCTTCATCCTTTTCAATCCTACCCAGTCTTTGCTGTCAGATTCCTACCACACAAGGTGCCCACACTCTTTGTTACTCTTAAAGCACAGTGACTCTGCCAAAATGCCTATCCCTGACCTTCAGCGTTGATTTCGTGCCATCCCTCGAGCCCTCGGCCATGCCCTGCATCATTTCCTATGTATCTAAGCTGTGCTGCAAACCTCTGGCTGCTCTTCATTTGCACAACATCCAAGACGTGAAGACTCTGAAGCTCTCCAAAGCTGGATCTTCCAGGTGTAGGCAGCCAGATCCTGGGCAAATGGTTCTTCCATGTCAAACTATCAGTCACCCAAAGAGCAATCCCACCAAATGGACGTATACTTGCTTATAGCAAGATTTACAGCAGAGCTGATTTCTAATAGTGTAGGGATCAGGCACTCTTCAGGGAAATTCAAAATACCCCTGAGCTCTTAACCTTTCTGTGGGCTCTGATTTACTGGTTTAAGAATAGAAAAGTTGTTTCTAGTGAACTCAGGAATTTAACCTACATAAATACTTGCAAAACTTCCATGAGACCATGTATGTCTTTAAAGACCCAGATATGGCATTTTGAAGCACCTAATTTTATGCACATGGGAATCAGCTTCACTGAAAATCACTCAGATTTACATTTTCCAAAGCACTGGATATAATTTCTCTTACAGATTTTACCTTCAAAGGGATTTAGTCATCTAGGTCACGTAAACACTCTAGAAAATGTTATTTTTTCTGCTCCTGCTCATTTTTTTTCACAACTACTCCAGGCACTTAACTTTAGTATGAACCAAAGTGCACATCTGCTCTGTAATCAATGGACATGGGCAGTTCCCTCCATGAGGCAAGTCACAGCATCAAAGCGAGGTGCCTAAAGTCATTGTGCAGACCAGGGAATCGTGTCTGCATTTTGGCAAGCAATTTTGTCAAGGCTCGCCTCCCAATGTGCCATAAAGTAAGGACACAGCACAGTTTTACTCTGATTAATTGTTTGCAGACAAAGTAAATAACTTTTTTTTCTTTTTAATGACTACAACTTTTCTGAGCATCAAGGCAGGAGGAGGTTGAGCTATCAGATTCAAAACACCCACAACTCTTCTTAAACCACAGAAGAAACATGTACTTAGTAACTCTAATGTAAATAACAGCATCATAATAGCAATTTATCTTCTAATCCACATTGAACAAAAGAAATACAAATGAAAAATTACCTGGGCACCATAGACTCGTTGCATTGCCTGAAGCAACTGGTTTGTGTATTCTGTAAGGGTTCCTGCATCTTCTTCAAAGACACTGAGCAAAGAACGAGTCTTCAATAAAAGAAAAAAAGCAAAGTTTTCAGTCCTAAGTAGAAATATTAAAAAGAATCAAACAATTACAAAGAGATGGTAGCAAAAAGTAAAAAGCAATCAGAAATAATACACCCTTGACTTGCATGATTCTGTTTATTCAGAATCTCTAAACATGTGGAAATAGGTTCTTTTATTATGGATGGTAAATTGAGGCACAAGGATGCAAACTAATAAAACGCTACAGCCACATCCCAGCTCCCAGGCTCTTGCTCCTACTAATAGACAGTCCTTCCAACATAATTAGGAATGTAAAAAATCCTGAATATCTTCCTGCTGACGACAGTAATTCAAACCATGTTAAGGACCGGGGGTCAAACACCACTGCTTGCTCACTTTACTTCTCCAGTGTCAGACTGCATTGAAAGCACTTCTTTCCACTGAGATAATTTACACTCTGTTATTCACTCCCCACTGTCTTGAGCAACTCTTAAGGGGCCCTGGCCAAAGCAAGCTGATGTCACTGGAGTGTTCAACTCCAAGAGGCACACAAGGATACACCCATGCAGAGATACCCTGTACTTTCTTCACTTTGCTAACTCATCCTAGCCAGCAAGCAGGAAGGGGAAGGAAAAACTTGTGCTATCTTAAAGACACAAATAAATTCCCTTGGTTTGTTCAGGCAGAATTGTCAGGAATAAAGAATTATGTTGCTGACACAGCTCCCAAGATGGGATAAAAAAGATATTTCAGAATAATGCTGGGCTCCAGAATTTGCTAGACCTTTACAATAATTAAGGAGGAAAGATTGTCCCTTTAACAAACTCATGATCCATACTTAGTCTTAGCTTTGATAAATCCAATCTATTTGAGGCTAACTGGAAATGTCTCTCCATCTGTACAGCTAACCCATACGACATTAATGAGCTTCATCTTCTTACATGAGGGGCATACATAAACTCCAGTACTTTCACAGACATGTCAGTCCTGTAAAAGAGCAAGTCTTTTATTTATCCCCCTCTTACAGGAATCTCTAATGTACCTGAAGTATCCAGGTTCAAATTTGGGAAATTTATTTTCAAAGTTTTAAGATACTCCACTATTTTAACAGAAGGCACATGCATTTTTCCAAGGCATCTTTTCTTCTCTTCAAAACTCTCTGCCCAGACTGTCTTTGTTCTGGAAAACTTAACACCAGCATCCTTCAAGAATCCTGGCCTAAGATTACCTATCATTTCATCTCTGCTGAGAAGTATCCAAGCCAGAAAGTAGTGCTGCTCAGTGGTTAAAACACATGACCTGGGAGTCAGTCTTTGGGTTTTCTTCAGAACCTTCCCCCTCTGAGTACCTTTAAAAGCTCTCAACAGTTCACTTGGCTGATGTGCTGTGCTGCTACAACACCTCCTACCTGAGAGATGCTGGCAGTTTGGAAGCTAGTTTGAGATCCTAGCATGTAAGTGAATATGCATTACAAAGTATTGTTCTCAAATACAGTGAACATAAAAACCAGAGAATGGAGAGAAGTCCAAGTCAATGAAATTGATACCAGGATCCCAAATGTTCAAAGCACCTTTGTACAAAACTTCCCTGTAAGGACAGTGTCATGATTTTGAGTTTTGCACATTAATATATTATTTCAGTAACTGCAAACATATTGATTTTCAAAAATATCTGGTTTCAAATGTTTTATCTTCAACAATGTAAAGCAAAATAATGTCAACAAACTATTCTGTATCTATGCGGTGCTCAATTTGTGTTACAATGGCACCTGTTTTGTGTTACAATGGCACATGAAAAGTACAGGGTACAAAGATGGTTAAAAAATAAATCTGGGGAAAAGAGAAAATTATAAAACTGGGCACAATGTTTATCAAGCCAAATCTCAAGCCAAAACTCAAGGGTTATAAAGAAATTGCCTGAAGTAGGCTACAAATCACACACTTCTGCCTGCTGGAAAAGGTTTCCAAACACAGGAATGTCAGCTGCATTTGTAAATTTTACTGAATTTTTGCAGACTCAGATTTTTCATTTGTCTAAATATGGTTTGAGGCAGAACAGCACCGGGAACCAACTTCTGAAAGTCTTGGCCTCTGTTATTAGCACATTGTTCAAAAATAATAAAACCAATAAATTATTCAGACAGTTTGGAAGTTATTCTTGGAAATTTTTACATTTAAGAATACCCTGTGAAATCACTGTAACAAAATACCAGCATGTATATATTTTCTTTGTTGCTGTTTTGACAAATTTTGGAATAGCAGCTAATTCTGCTGAAATAAACTAGTCTAACCCAAACATTAAGCTAACATTTAGGAGGCCCCATTATTCACAACATTATCTCAGCTTCTGGAAGGATAGGAAACAATTTTCTAGTTTCATGTAAGTACTTCCCTTGATTTTAGCATGACTGCTGACATAAATTTTTCTCTATTTTGTAGCCAAATTTTTCTCTAATTTGTAGTCAAAATTAAGACACTTCTTATGGCCTCTTTCAGTCAGTGTCTGGAGACAGATCAAGACAAAAGTACTGTACTGATGGGGAGAGTTAAGTTCCAGAAACCTGATGAAGAAATAACTTTGGCCTAATTCTCCTCGGTCTTGCATGTAAATCACATACTTCCCAGAGATTATACAAAGTGAGGTTACATCCTCATTTCACCATCCCTTTGCACTCCTGTGACTGCACAGAGCAGGAGAGACTCAAGCTCCTTCTTGCAGAAGTAACTGATCCTATAAGATGCTTTGCTGCTTATTTTTGTGGAACAGAGACTAACTTTTTGCTTTGATTTTGTGAATCTAAAGCTCTCCCCAGGGGAAAAAAAAGTAAAAATAAAATAAAAGACTGAAAAAGCCCACTCTTGCTTCCTTGCATAAAAATAATATATTTTAGCAACACTGGGCCATTATAAAAATTAAACAACGTCCCTCCCTCTGAAAGCTGTAGGGCTTGAAGAAAAAGCAATGACCAAATCAGGGTAAAACATCCTGGCAATACTAAGGTTTATGCATTGCCTGGTATTCCAGTGATTGCAAAGGACACGTTGAAAGACTTCATTTCGGGACACAAGAAAGACAACTACCTCCAAATTCAGTTCAGTGCATTGTTCAGCTGCTTTCAGTCAGCATTACATTTTTAATCACTGCGGGAAGTGTTGACTGAAGAGGCAAATTAGTCCACTTCTCCTGCATGTCAATTTATTCAGCTTTAGGAGGCAGTGGGTATTTTAACACTAAAAACATTACTAACTACCCATAATGAATCTAGTACGTTCTAGTAAACTGTGGAATACAAAAAAGCTCAGGCTGGTGAGGAACTCTGCAGGTCACCTTGTTCAAACGTCTGCTCCAAGCAGGGCTGGCTTTGGTGTAACACCACATTACTCAACACTTCTTCCAGCCCAGAGCTTAAAATTCCTAAGGGTGATTGCAAATGCGCCACATCAAACAGATGACGGAAATCCTTCTTACTAGAATGGGATTTCATGAAATTACAAAAAGCCAGGCTAACATGAGGCAATTAAGATAAGACCCAAGGCTCATTAAGTCCCGACAGGTGCATTTCCAAACTTTCCTTCAAAACATCTCATGACAGACTCTGTCACCTTGCAGTAATCTCTCTACAGCTCACTATCCATTCCTCCTCCCGATCCATCAGCAGATGAGTTAGGATTACGAGTTAGTTACCTGGGAGCTGCACCCATACTGATCCACCCTGCCCTCATTTGTTTATTCCCTGCTTCACCAACTACTTTTGTATCTCGCTCTGCACCATGCTTTGTCCCCAGGCACATCTTCCGCATCTCTCAGTGGAATTTCCATTTTTTCCCCTTCCTATTACTTCTCTCTTCTACTCAACCAGCCCCTGAACACATCAAGGCATGGCATGTTGTTCTCTGTGGGGCTTCCACAGTGCCAGGGGTGCCCCGTGCAGCTGCGGCACACCGCGGCTCCCGGCGGCGGGGCACGGGGCGCTGCACCGGGCCGAAAGGAGCGACATCCTCCCCGGCCCGCACTCGGCAAGGGCAGCGACCGCCTCTCCTCGATCCTCACACCCCTCCATAGGAGGTCATCTTCGGTGGTATCCACCTCACTTATGCTCATGGAAGCTCTGCATGGGAACTGCGGCCCCTGAGGAGCAGGCACGCTGGTGCTGACACTCCTCCAGACCATTCTGTCACCGGGGCCAGGTGACTCACCGCGCACAGGTGTCCCTTTCCCTTCGGGGGAAGCCAGCGCACCTAGCCGTGCGCACCTGTCCTTCCCCGACACGCCTCGGCTCTTCAGGGCAACCCTCACAGCCACCGAGCGCGCACCCAGACGGGACGGTGCGAGGGAAAAGCCACAGCAGTTTCACTAAGGGCGGTGAGGCGAACGGGCGCACTGTCCCCCGCGCTGGGGGACAGCCCCCGTCCCGGGGGGGCCGAGGAGCAGACTCTGCCTGCTTTTCCCCCGACGAACGCCCCGCGGGACACCAGACCTCCCCCGCGGCCGCACGGCTGCGGTCCGCCCGCCTCAGCGCTTCCCCGCTCCCCGACGGCTCCGACCACCGAGCTCGCCCCGACCACTTCCCCGCCCGCCGTGCCGTCCCCCCGCACCGCCCCCGGCACCCCTCTGCCCGCCACGGGACGCTGCTCCCCGGCCCTCGCCCGCTCTCAACCCGCCCCGGCCCGGCCAGACCCGCGGGCTGCCCGCCGGCACCGAGCGCTCAGGTGCGTCACACCGACCGACCGACGGACGGGCTGCCCCGGTAGCTGCCGCTACCTGCGGGCTGTCCTGCAGAGCCTCTTCCAGAAGGAGCTTGTCGACGGCGGGCATGTTGGCGCTGCGGCGCGGCGGAGCCCTGGCAGGAGCGGGGTGCGCGGCGCTGGCACGCCCCGGCGGCGGGGCTCAGCTGCGTGCGTGCGTCCGTCCGTCCGTCCCCGCGGGGGTGGTGGCCGCGGCACTTCGCAGGCACCGAGCACGGCTGGACGGCTCGGCTGGCGGGGCCGGGGCCGCTCACTCCGCCCAGTTTCCGTCCGCCGGAGGAAGCGAGTCACGGGGAGGGCCGGTGGGGGGAGGCTTCCTGCCGCCATTAGCTCGACGGGCGGTGGCAGCGAGGGCGCTGATGGAGCGCGGGCCGTGCCGGCCTTCCGCAGCTGCGCTCCCTGAGAGCAGGGTGGCGGGAGGAGGGATGTAGCAGCGGCCCTGGGTGCCCCCTGAGCCGAGAGAGGCTGTGAGGGTGCGTGGGTGTGATAACAACCAGGGGAAGATCAGCCCCTCCAGCCTGAGCTCGTGGGGCTTGGGGACCTCTGGCTGTGGGCCAGCCCTTTGCTGTGCTCTCCTCAGGTAGCGCGGCAGGGACGCACCTAGGGCATCAGTACAGCCGCTTGCTTATCAGTGACCCTCCTCTGTGGCATCTGCGTTTGTTCTTGTCCGTGGGCAACTCTGCAAGTGAAACTGTGGGACCTTGTTGTGCTCCAGGCAGGCAAATCCCCGCACAGCCATAGCCCATAATACCATAACCCCGTAACACCTGGGGGGTTAGAAGGGATGCGTTTTGAGTTGCTGGTCCTTCATGTACTGAGCTATGTTTTTATGTGTCTTGATGCTGTTTTAATTGTGTTGGATAACTTCAGCATTTGGACGCTAACTTGGATTCTTAGTTGAACAAAATTAATATTTGCAAAGTAAGCACAGCTTGGTATGTATTTGATTATGTACATGCCTTTGAAGGGTGTCCATTGCTTTTAGATGCCTTAGCTTCCCCAAAAGTCCAGGGTTACGGATCTTGCAGGGAAGTTGTTCCATTCTTGTCAGCTGTAGCTTTTGTTGCTCCAGTGTGCCTTTAGATAAAAATGGAGATACTCAAATCCAGAATCTCATTGAAGAAAAAAAAAACCCCAAAGCCCAAAAACCAACCAACAAACAAACTACAAAAACCCCAAAATAACAACAGCAACAAAACCCAAACAAGCAAAACCCATTTCTGAAGACTTCAGGAAGAGTCCTGCCAATTAAACAGAATACACAACCAACCATACTGGCTGTAAGATGCTACCATCTTTGAAGAAATTTCACAATCTTCAGATAACTCGTATTGCTGGCCTCTTTTAAATGAAGAAAAATAATTCTAAAAAATGCAGATTGTGTTGTAAAAACCTCCCAACATTAATATCAGCCAGCTTTTTGCATCTAAGTCCCAGTGGATTTTTCCACTTCTGTCACTCTTAAGAAATAGCAAACATTTTATATGACAAGGTGGTTGCTAATAAAGATTAAGTGCTTTTTTTTCCAATTAAAAGACTTTTTGCAGATTGGCTGGATGATTGTTTGCTTAATTATGTATGAGAAAGACCACTGAACCCTGTAATTTTGGCTAAGGTGTTTCTGTGTGTCTGACATTGATTGGTATTGCTTCTGAAGCTTGTGATGGGACCTTTAACCCAATGTGCCAAGCTGTAACAGTGGGACTGCTCCACCAGTCCTGAAACTGGACTCCTTGTTCCAGGCCTTTGATTAAGAACAGAGGTCTCACATTTAGTTCTTTTTCCTGTCTGAATAAAGACACTGAACCATAATAAAAATCTCTAGCTAGTACCAAAAATACCATGGATGACAGTATGTATTTACACAAAGAGAAAATAAAAATAGATATGGATTTATCATAATAATGTTTTGGAGAATTTTAGAATGGTGAAAAGAGGCCAGAGATTTTATTTTCTACAGAAAATGAAATAGGGCACCAGTTAGCCATTAGGCTTAAGAATCCATGATCACATCTGAGCCAATTTTGTCAGTCTGTGTTAAGTCTTATTTTTTTTCCATCAGAGATTTTGAAAACATTGCTTGAAATTAATAGAGAACAAGAAAACCATGCTGCATCAGATTTTCTGTATCTGTAAGTTCAGGGCATTTTTTTAATATTTCCCAAATACTTCGTTTTAGTTACAATTCTTGCTTCTTTCTTTCCCCTTCTTGTCGTGAAATAGTTCAGCAACAGCTCTTACATTGAGTTGAAGTATTTCCTTCACCAGGAAAGCATTAAGGTGGTTTGTGGTTTTATTTCACATCACTACAATAGCCTGGAAGATTTTGTCTTCTTCCTTTTGATGTCTTTGTTTAGTGTGAGGTTCAAGAGTGGAAGCCTGTTGTCATTCCAAAGTTCAGAATAGTTATTTCCAGAACAGGTTCTACTAGTCTTATTTAATTAAAACAAAAAGCACTTCATTAACTTACTGAAGGGGATGCTTTTTACTAGTTGTCAGTCTTTGTTGCATCATTTCCTACACAGCTATAAACTTGGCAAATTGCTTATTTGTAGTGAACAAAATGTTTGTATTGAACTTTACCAATTCAGTCCAGGTGTTTTTAAATTTTAAAAAGTTGCCTATTAGTAATTGAAAATAATTTCTCAGTCACTTGGTTTTATTGGGTCTCAAGAATTATTCTTCAGTTTTGGTAACTCCAAATAATGTTTCTAAAAAAATTAAAATAACCCACAGTGCTACCACCAAACATTTAAGCAATTTATCTATGCAGCATTAGCAGTATTATAAAAAGAAGTTAGGTACCTTGTCCATGGGCAGTCCTTTGGGTAGAGGTGTCTCATTCTTTGACACAAGAAAACACAGTTTCTGGGTTTCCCGAGTTTCCACGTTCTACATCCAGGTACTAAATGCAATATACTCACTACTACAAAAAGTCTTGCTGACTGGAAAGCACTCTTCCAGCCGTTCTAGGAACACTGAACATAAGGAAAGAGAACAGTAGGCACAGTACCCTGAATCAGTCACCTTACTACTCCAAAGACCTGCCATGGAAGCGTGAAGTGAGCTGGAGATCACTGCCGGGAAGCAGTGTGTGTGTGTATTCTGTAACCTACAGATGACTCAATTATGTGAAGAAAAATGGCTCCTAGACTGTGTGTGAAAACTTTAGGGAAAAAACCTCAGAAAGGCTACAATTAAAGTGATCCATACTGCTTATAAAACTAGCAAGAGATCATAGTATCAAGTAAAATCAACAAATAATTGAGTGTTGAGTATGAAGTAATTGATTACGTAAACTAATTGTCCTGCTTCTAAGAAAAGATGATGCTCCCTTCCAGCAAAAGCCTGACAGTAGCCAAAAGATCTCATAGCTGGGAGAATGATCAATTTTAAAGGAAAGAAGAAAGTTTGAATTCATCTGAAATTTAAAGATTTGTCTTCTAAACAAATCTCTTGGCAAAATGCTATAAAATCTTCCAGTATTACTGTAGGTCCACAGAAACTGGTGCATCTTCAAACCTGAAATGGGGGTTTTACACAGGACAGTCTTGTTCGTGTTTGAGGATGGCCAGGAACATCCCTTGGTAACCAGCCAGTCAAGTCTGGCCCTGTGACAGGACAGGAAGGACCATGGTGTGAGGTGGCAGCTGGGACTGTGCTTTCTGCAGGACTGAAGGTGTCAATGCCATGCTTCCAGGTTTGCCCAAGTGCTTTCCCCCCAACTGCCCAACACCAGCTCAGGGCTGGAAGCAGCAGTGCCAAGCCTGGATGGTGCTGTACCTGAGTTAATAAGCCCTGCCAGCTTTAATTGGACTGTTTGGAAACAAGGCAGCTGTTGTGCATCCTTAGCCTAATTTATTTCCAAATTTCATAATCCACCCAGTATTAATGGAGAGCTGACTGTAATTATTTTTTTTCTGGTTAGACTAGTTACAGAGTAAGTCATACTACATCATGCTCTCTTTCTCATATGTTCCATTATAACTTTAAAGAACTTATTGCATTATGCTTCCTTTTTGGCTTCATACCTTGTACTTTACAAGAAATTTCTGAGCAGTTGTGTGCTATTTGCTAAGTCAGCTGAGTATATTTATGCTTTTAACAAAGTTTCTCATATTCTTCTTTGTGCTCAGTAAAAAATCTTTGAACTACAGATGACTTTTAGACATGTAATAATTTACCATAAGTTGTGCAGCTTTGTAGAAATATATATATAAATATAGAGGATATGTTATATGATAGTACCAATAAATTGCTTCAAATGAATACAAGTGAAAGATATGAAAAGGGCTCTCAGTACTTTCACTACCAGAAGCATCCCAAAACAATTTTTTATATAGTATCTGAATAAATTACTGGTTAAATTAATACTAGGACATCTGATGTACTGGACATGTCTTGGACACATAGGAAACGAGTATCTTGTGATTTTGTGTATGACCCATAGCATAATACTGGGCTGAAATAAAATTCCACTGAAATTGTGAATTGCTATGTGACCAAGATGTCGTATTCTTTGTTTTAACATAAAACACATGGCTTTGTTTATTTCCATTAAACACGTTAGTAATATGCCAAAATGGATATGCACAGATGGACTGGCTGGTGGGATAGATCTAATTAAAACCTCATTGAAGGTGAAGGGTATAACTGCCATCTTTAATTTAATGTGATTTAAGGACAATTATGTCCCCTCCTATAACCAAGCCCAGCAGCAGTCTCCACCCAGATACAGAATAAAGATATGGTTTCAAATGCTGGAGTCACTGATGGCAGTACCAGCCAGAGGTGTTGCCACCACTTCCTCCACACCTTCCTCTGCCCTGCGCTGTGCGGGCTTGGATAGTGGTGCCATGACTGTTTGTTTGGGGGCCTGTCTGATGGAGGGCATCTGATTTAACAGTTTGCATTTGCTTTGCAAGAAACAGGAGCAATGAGACAGTGGGTAGTTCGTTGGAGATTTAGTGGAATATTGTAAGCTAAAAGTTTTATGTTTTTGCAGTGCAAATGTCAATACACAGGCTCCTTCCTCCTACTAGATGTGCTTTTTGTGATGTATGTTGCTCCCTAACCTGCTTCAGGTGACGCTCCAATGGTGTTCAGGACTGTCTGAGGAATGGTGAAAAATCTTTGGGTGAAATACAAGAAGTGACAAAAAGAATAATACAGGTACTTCATCAAAGAAATGCATATCTGATATGATTCTGTACATTAATGCGAGACCTCTAATGCCTGA